AGGTAGATTAGAAGAAAACTCGCACACACACGAGCTTTCATATCTCTGCACCAAATTTCCCTTAAACAGAAAATAATAGAGCCAAGATTAGAGAATACCTGGACCTCATCTTCACTAACAATGAGGGATCTGATACGAAATGCCCACCATATCAAAAACAATATACTCAGATCACAACATAACAGAGGTTCAGACATGTATGCTTGGAGCCCCAAAACCAACAAAATGTGACCAGTCACGAGGGAGCCTTCACCAAATTCGTCTTCATTAAAAAAAAACATAAGGTGGAACCAAGTAAACCAGGTATTAAATGATATAAACTGGAAAGACACCCTAAGAAACACGGATCCAGCTAATGTCTAGAACAAACTCTGTGGTACTCGAAGTATGCTAGAAGTAAACTAAAAAGAGAAAGGCCCCCTGTACAGACGAAGGCAAGAATAACAGAGTGGCTAAAGAGGGCAATATATCTGTAATACATAGGAGACACTGGTCAGAGAAATGTCAAACGTCAAACTGAGCTAAAGGAATGTTACAGGAGTCAAGAAACGCGGGAAGAACAAAAGTCATAAATGAAATTGAAACAAACCCAAAAAATTTCTTAAGCCAAATCAAAATTGAGAACAACATCCAGTATTTTATCCCTACTTAAACAAAATGGGTCCTACACAGATGACAGCAAGACTTGGCAGACGATGCAACATCCCCCAATGAAAGCAGGGGTGTCCCCTAGCACGTTAAGAGACCATACAATAAGTGTCAGGGGCCCGAGCTGTTCAACTGCTCCCAGCATAAAATAAGGGGGATTACCAACAGGGCCCCTGGGAGTCTTCAAGCTGGCACTGGACAAGCACCTAAAATCGTTCCTGACCAGCCGGGCTGTGGCTCGTACGTTGGTTTGAATGCAGCCAGCATAACAGCCTGGTTGATCAGACTCTGATCCACCAGGAGGCCTGGTTACAGACCGGGCGCGGGGCGTTGACCCCCCGGGAAATCTCTCCAGGTAAACTCCAGGTAAGGAAATGGGTGAGGTACTCAAGTCCCAAAATGACCCGGTTTTTAGGGACCGCTAACCAGACTGGGGAATCGAAGGCCTAAATAATTTTTTTTTATGAGAGAGAGACAGAATTTCGTAGACTCGAACCCCATCTGATATTATCCTGATGCCAAATGACTTCGAAAATGCGATAAACGACATTGCCCATGCACTCTGCCCCATCATGAAGCCCCTTATCATGTCTTTTAACATCCAATGGAGAGGAAGCATGGACACAGGGGTCATCGCACAAATGAATAAAAACAAGACATAGTCCCACTCCACAAAGGAGGCAGTAAAGCAATAGCAAAAAAACTACAGACGATAGCGCTAAAAACCAATATAAAATCTTTGTAGATGAATGGTTCAGAGAACCGACATGTTGATAAAAATCTTTGAAGGGCTCAAAGAAACAAGATCCCAACCATCTAGATACCCATCAGAAAATACCCAGAGCAACATAAAAATAAAAAATAATATAAAACAATATCTTTGTTTACTACAAGTACAGGGAAATACGGGCCTATTTGACTCAGTGACATACTACTGTATAAAACCCCCTTGTTATGTTGAAACATTCGGGCAAATTAGATCAGGCCCCCCGGTGCGCCCACACAGTCGACTAACACCAGGTACCCATTTTACTGATGGGAACATAGACATAAGGTGGAAAGAAACACCCCCAATGTTTCTACCCTGGCGGGGAATCGAACCCAGGCCTTCGCCAGGTCAAGCGAGAGCTTTAACCCCCACCCCAAGCCACATGCTGGAAAACTATGGACCACTATGACGGGTCCGGTTGCTCTAAAAAAAAATCAATGTTATACCAATTTTGAAAAAGCCTTTGACAACGGACCATTATGAAAGAGCACAAAAGGGATAAAGTTGTAGAGGGCTCTAAAATTTCCAACTTAAAAACCAAATAAATAGTAAAAAGTAAAGTCGAGGGGCTACGTTAAAGCTCTGTTCCACGCACAGTACTCGCCCCCATCCTATTCCCATCCTCATATCTACAACGGGATGAAAGCCACGCACGTGTTTTCTTTCAAACCCCCCAAATTTGCTGACAGTGTCCCCATTGCAGACACCCCAAGACTTCAGGGACTAAACCCAAAATTTTTTTAAATGGGCCCAAAGACATGTGAATTCAATGAAAGAAATTTAAAATTTGCTCCCTAGGGAAAACAAAAAATTTAAAAAACACACAGTATATAATAAATTCCAACCCACAAAAGCGAAAAACAATGTAAAAGACCGGGAGTGATCTTCGGGGATCTCCCCTTAAAGGACCATAACTTTTTAAAAATCGCAGCTTAAAAAAGACGGAGGTAATGAGAACTTTGAAACGGGGATCCCAAACCCATAAATAAATAAGATTTCGTTGGGTTTTTTAAACCCCCCGAGGGTTACCACCCGGGATAACCCAAAGAAACGGGCGTCATCGGGGACTTTTAAACTTATTTCCTTTGGGGGTCCTTAATTTTGCCCCCCAGGATGCGCCAACCATCGACAAACACCAGGTACCTATTTGCTGCTAGGGAACAGGAAAACGGGTGTAGGAAACGTGAAAATTTTCCCCACCCGCGGGAACGAACCCGGGCCCTCCGTGGTGAAGCGGGGGCTTTACCACCAACCACCCGGGGCCCCCTTAGTGAGCCTCTTCAGGTGCTTTTTCCACTAGGCTGGGAAAATTGCTGCACACTAACCCCCTTTCAAGAAGGGGAAATTGCTGACCTAAAAATGTACAGAGAACCTTCAGGGGCCCATAACGAGATAAAACCCTCATTACTGGGAGCGCTTGAAGTTCCAAAACCTGTTTTCCTGAACGCAGGCGGGAGATACATATTATATCACCCAAAAACCTAGACGGATTGTACCAAATTTCACACAAAATCATCCTTTAAAGCAAAAGATCGGCAGGAGATGCAACTTCCCCCATAAAAGCGGAGTGCCACAGAAACCTGAAAGACAACACAAAGTGAAAAGGGGCCCCAAAGACGTTAAACTCCGTCCCAGCAACATAAGGGGGGATTCCCAAATAGACCCGGCTTCTTCAAAAAGGGCCGGACAGGCACGTAAAGTCAGTACCGCAGCCGGGTTTTGGTTCGACTTCGGGTTGCTGCGGCCAACAGAAACAGCCTGTTGATCAACCCTGATCCACCATGAGTTGGTCCAAACCCGGGGCCGCGGGGCTTTGCCCCCCGAAACCCTCACCGGGTTTCCTAGACATATATGATGTAAAAGTAAAAGCAGATATGATTAATGTATATTAGTAAAAAGGATTTTAAAATGGGGGTTCGTTTTTCCCGAAAGGGGTAGAAACATTGGGGGGTTTCCTTACACCCGGGTGTCCCGTTGTCGGGTTGCTAGCGCACTGAGTCCGGGGTTCCCCAACCCCCCGATCGGCTAAAAACATTAGGACGTTTTCCATAAACACCTGCGTTCATGTTCCCCACATACCTGGTTTATTTGAGTGTGGGTCGCATCCTGGACAAAATTAAAAATAATTTCCGAAATGCTCTGCATAAAAGCGCTTTCTATTAGTATATTCACAAAGTCGCCAGGGGATACCTTGTACATGTACTGGTAAAAATAAATAATATTTATTTTATATGTTGATACAAGCGATTGCAAAAATGTACGTCGAGTATAAGGGCGTACAGTAAAGGAGTACAAGGACGTACAGTTGGTAATCAAGCAAAAGTAAAAAAAAATAAAATAATAATAATAATAATAATAATAATAAAATAATAATAAAATAATATCTTTTTTTCACATGTACAAGTATGTCTTAGCGACATCAGTGCATTTGGGGAAAAATTAGATCAGTTTCGTCCCCAAAGCACCCCCCAGAAAAAACACCCAGGACCCCTTTTATGATGGTGAACATAGACAGCGGGGTCAAGAAAAACCCCAGGTTTTCTACCCTCGCCGGGGAACGAACCCGGCATTTTGCCGGGGGACGCGAGAGCTTTAGCCCCAGGCCACGGGGGACCATATTGTGACAAGCAACTATATGTAAGTAGCGATAAAGCAGACGTACGTATGTTGATCAACAACTATTGTTTTTGAGTCAAGTAGACTACATGTAGTGTATTTAGTACAAGCAGACTATAGTGTATGGAAGGTGATTTTATAAACAGACATGCATGTAATGTATGTTGAGTACAAGGAGACGTACTTGTATGCTGAGTACAAGCAGATGTACATGAAATGTTTGAGTACAAGCAATTGATATATGTGTTGGTACAAGCAGAGTACGGGTAATGTAGTTGATTACAAGCGACGTACGTGTAATTGAGACAAGCAGAGTCAGAATGTATGTGAGTACAAGCTTGTACTGAGTTGAATACAAGCAGATGTACGTGTATGTTAAATACAATTAGATATACATATATGTTGAGTATAAGCAGACGTACATGTATGTTGAGTACAAGCAAGCGTACATGTATACTGAGTACAATCAGACGTACATGTATACTGAGTACACCAGACGTACATGTAACGTTTTCTCTCCAACATTCCTTCATATCGATCTGACGACCACCAACACAACTCTGCCTTCACACACTTATTATTGCCTAAGTTGATTTCTATTTGACTTCATCTTTTATCTAACTCTGAGAGGTAATCTTATGTAGTCAGATTTACAATAAGTTATTTTTTATAATGTTTGTTATTGATGTTTGTAAGTTATTTGAAGGCGGCGCCTGAGGTTCACGTGACAGTATGCGCGCGCGCACCCCACACCCACCCGACACCAACTACTGTTTATTCTCTCTATTTATCTCTGTATCCCGGCTACCAAGGTATTATTTGTAATGTAAAATGTAATGACAATTGTTTTTGTGTTCGCCGTGTGTGATATATTATGGAATGTGAATATGTAAGGGTAGGTAATAAAGTGGAATTAGTTGTGTGTGTGTGAGTGTGTGGGTGTTGGTGTCTGGGCGGCCACAACACAGCTCAGTGTTGGTGTGGTCTTGGTGCGCAGTGGTATTCTGCTCACTGCTCCTGCGATGTTTACCACAACCTCTCTTATTCTCACCGTCTCTGTGATATTTTGTGACACCTCAACAGTGAACTGAATCACCCGAAGGTACACCGAAGTATATAGTGGAACTTTGCGTCTGTGATCGTCAAAATAACTGTAAATTTAAGTGGAGTGAGTGAGAGTCGAGGGAGTGCGGTGTTGCCGCAGTGTGAGCACCGAGGTGCCACGTTGCCGTCATGGAGGCTGGCTCAGCTCCGCTTGGCTCAGCTCCCCTTGGCTCAGCTGCTCCTGGCTCAGCTGCGCCGCTGCAGACACTGTCGTTGCTGCAGCATAGTTCTCGCCACCGCTCCAACAATAACAACAGTGCTCTCAAGAATAAGAAGAGGCGCAGGCGGCGACGACGAACACCTAAAGCAGTGGAAAAGTTACGTGGGGAGAGTAACATCGCTATTCTGTCACCGACGACGTCCCGCGAGTCATGGGCGCTCCATCATGGCCCGCCCACGCCCGTGCTTCGACCCGTGGGTGCCCAGGTTCCTCGCGCCCCCGAGAACAGCACTCAGTTTATCATGGATGATCACGAAAACTCAGCAATGTTTGTGGACTTCGACAACTTCAGCACACCACACTGGGAGCAGGAGCCGCCTGTTAGTGGCGCTGAGGAAGACGAGACTGGGAGTGCCACGCCTACGCATGCTCTCACCCGCGACTGGTTTCCTTTCAACGCCGCCGACTTCGAAACCGCATATCAGAGTGCCCGTGAAGATAGACTGATGTCTGGTAGTCGCTCTGAGTTGCGCTCTGCCATAGTGGCGCTTGAGGCCCGCGCAGCTGTGCTCGCTGATGCACTCTCTGCCTCCCCTTCCCGCCTTCTGTCTACCCTACAGGCGCAGCTGCTACAGCTTCAGGAGGAAAATGCTTCGTTGCGTCAGCGTCTGGCCCGCCACGAACGGAAGCGGCAGCAATCACTGGAATCTTCGTCATCGTCATCAACAGACAGCGATTCAGAGTCCGACTCAACCAACTCCTCGAGTGACTGCTCAGAGTCGGACTGCGACACTTGTGCAGCTCGTCGCAGTGCTGCTGTCAAAGAAGAGGAGGAGAAGGAGAACACCCGCCCCATCCTTCCTACTCGTCTGCCTTTCACAACACTTCCTTAACTTTTCCCGACTCTCAAAGGCGGCAAAGAAATTTAAAGGCAGCAGTGTTTTTACCGAGACTCCACCGGTGTGCGGGTCACACCTCTCAAGGCCGTGTCACGCCCTCTTGAAACCGTGTCACGCCGTCTTGAGGCCGTGTCACGCCGTCTTGAGGCCGTGTCACGCCGTCTTGAGGCCGTGTCACGCCCTCTTGAGGTCGTATGTTATCGTCTCTACAGTCGCAAGTCTGCTGGTTCTAGATACGCCGTCAGGGGCGTCCTCCAGCACCTCCATAAGTCAAGTGTATTGGTTTCATCCCTTCCTGTGTCCCACAGGAAGTCAGCCCGACTCTCAGTGTTCCAGAAGTTGATAGGCAAGTTTAGCTCCTATAAAATTGTTCAGTAAAATAACACAGCAGACTTTGTCTAGGACACATGTTTATTCGAAAATTAAATCTGATTATAAAAGAAAACAGTTAAAGGCTATGTAGTGTAGCTTAAGTCACCAAGGCTCTTGTCACAAATTTAGCAACGAAGGCTTTTGTCAGACATTATCGAAGTCACGAACGGAGCCCACTACTAAACAGACCTCACCGAGGTGCTCACTTCAGCCATGTCGCATAGTACACCGTGCAGTTGCAAAATATTTAATTTAGTCATTGTACCGGATCCAAGTTCAACAGCCTTCGTCCAGAATCTTTCACAACTTGAACACACTTAGACTAAACTGGTAGAAAGTACCTCTGCTCAAAATGAACCATATGAACTTTTTTCTTTTGTGTATTTTCTACAATACTGTCATTTTCTTTGTTATTGTTAATTCTCACTTTGTTATGGATATGTGCTCATAAAGTTTAATTTTTGTTTTATACAGTAGATGCTTAGTAAATATAAATGATATATTTCTTATAATTAAATTATTATTATATATTGTGTGTTGTGTATCTTATGGAATTTTCAACATATTTTGATATTTTATTTCCCACTGTTTATATTTTAAGTGTGCTTACAGGTCTTTCTTCATATTCCTTTTCTCCATTCACATCTTCCCTTCATTCTCCATCTACACCTCCATCTTTCCTCATCCACAGTTTCTTCCTCATCTTTCCTTTCTTCTTACTCTCTCTAATTTCATAGTTTCCCCTTCGTCTTTCACCTTCTCCCTTACTCTCTTCTCCCATCCCCCTTCCTTTCCTTTATTTTGCTCCCTCCACTTTCTCATATCTTTCTTCACTTCTTCCTACCCTCATTACATCCATCTTTTCAACTTCTCAGTCTCCTCTCCCTTTCGTAATCTCTTCTTCCGTGCCAGTCTTCATTTACCAGTAAATCCTCGCCTTTTCAATGTTTTGTCTCCCCAATCTTTATCCCCATTCCCAATCTCTCCCTACCCACTTCCCAATATTTTTCCTCTCGTTTCCCAATCCCTTCTTCCTTTCCCCTTCCAGATATCTTCCTCTTTCCCTATTTTGTTTCCCTCTCCTGGTATCTCTTATTTCCCAGTCTATATATCTTCCTTCCCCAGTCTCTATCTCTTCTTCTCCAGTCTTTATCTCTCCCTCCCCACCTGTATCTCTTCCTCCCCACCTGTATCTCTTCCTCCCCACTTGTATCTCTTCCTCCCCAATTGTATCTCTTCATTCCCCTACCTGTATCTCTTCATTCCTCCCACCTGTCTATTCTCCCTCTGTATCTCTTCTCTTCTCTTCATACGGTATGTCTACTTCCTTCCCTCCCCTCCCAGTCTTCCTCTCACCACTACCCGTCTCTTCCTCTCTCACCACCACCATCGTCTCTTCCTCTCACCACCACCATCGTCTCTTCCTCTCTCTCACCACCACCATCGTCTCTTCCTCTCTCACCACCACCATCGTCTCTTCCTCTCTCACCACCACCATCGTCTCTTCCTCTCTCACCACCACCATCGTCTCTTCCTCTCTCACCACCACCATCGTCTCTTCCTCTTTCACCACCACCATCGTCTCTTCCTCTCACCACCACCATCGTCTCTTCCTCTCTCTCACCACCACCATCGTCTCTTCCTCTCACCACCACCATCGTCTCTTCCTCTCTCACCACCACCATCGTCTCTTCCTCTCTCACCACCACCATCGTCTCTTCCTCATTCACCACCACCATCGTCTCTTCCTCTCACCACCATCATCGACTCTTCCTCTCTCACCACCACCATCGTCTCTTTCTCTCACGAACACCCGTTTGTTTCTCTCTCCTGTTAGTATGTTATTCCTCGTACTCTTGACTATATAACTTCGGACCTGTAGCAATAAATCAATGGCGTGACTTTACAAAAGTGCAACCACCAGAACTGCCATACTATGCATTAGTTATCATTATAATATTTAATATATATTTTCTTGCTCCAACTACTTCTCGGAGGCAATATTTTGTAAAATCCTGGGAGTTAGGCACTTTCTTCTCGCGAATATCAACCTGTTTTGTCAATTGAGAGAAGAGAAGTTGTTATCGTTGTAGAAGGTTAGGAAGTTAACGTTGTACCAGGTTAGGAAGGTGTGTAGTGCATTGAAGCTATCTAGCTAACATTGACACTTGGTATATACACAGGAAAGACACAGTTACACAGCATTCTTTTATATTAACGTTTCGTGATGTGGAACTTTGTTAAGCCAAACTCAGAGAGAAACGTTGTTACAATAGATTGCTCAGCACCTATGTCTTGACTACTGTTCATAATGCGCCTTTGTATCCAACTTGGTTTTACAGTTCAGAGCTGCCCTCGAGGAAGCCTAGTGCTGCTACTGATACGATATAATCACCCTCTGAGATTGCCAGCAATCATACCTATCCACCCAGTCTCTTTAATTTTAGACTTTGCCCTTGCCATTTTATATAATCCATTTATAAGTCGACTCGTACCCTACTGTGGTAGTCCTCCATCCTGATTTTTTATTCTCTTTGCAAGATATATAAGGTATTCAGATGTATCACCACAGTCTCTCTCTTAAAAAAAAAAAAGGAGAAAACTCCTTTTCACGAGTGTACTGTATACAACGTTATAATAAATTTTTTTTAGAAAAAGCAGGGTATAGGTTGTATACTGTACACTGATGGTATACGAGGATCAGGGCTCGCTGAACGGCGTTAAGTCTCTATCAGAAAATTCACGTTTGTTTCTGAGAAATGTTCTTTCAAAGTTTATACAACAGGATGTCTTAGAATGATAATCACACCAACCCCAGATTATTTAGTGTTAATCTGTGAGCTTAAAAGAGGGAAATTATCTCAATGATATTGCTACAGTTCCTGCTGCATCTGCTGCTCCAGTTGCTGTTACAGCTGCTGCTCCAGTTGATTTTCCAATTCTGCTCCAGTTACTGCTGCAGCTGCTGCTGCTCCGGTTTCTGCTGCACCAGTCGCTGCTGCTCCAGTTGCTGCTGCAGCTGGTACTCCAGTTGTTGCAGCTGCTGCTCCAGTTGTTGCAGATGCTGCTACAGTTGATGTTCCAGTTCTGCTGCAGCTGCTGCTCCAGTTGTTGTTACTCTGGTTGCTGCTGCCGCTGCTGCTCTGGTTGCTGCTGCAGCTGCTGCTCCAGTTGCCGCTCCGCTTGCTATTGCAGCTGTTCCTCCGGCTACAGCTCCAGTTGCTGCTGCAATTCTTGCTTCGGTTGCAGCTGCTGCTCCAGTTGCAACACTTGCTCCGGTTGCAGCTGCTGCTCCGGTTGCAACTGTTGCTCCGGTTGCTGCTGTAGCTGCTGCTCTGGTTGCTGCTGCAGTAGCTGCTCCGGTTGCTGCTGCAGATGCTGCTCCGGTTGCTGCTGCAGCTGCTGCTCCAATTTCTGCTGCAGCTGCTGCTCCAGTTGCTGCTGCAGCTGCTGCTCCAGTTGCTACTGAAGCTGCTGCTCCAGTTGCTGCTGAGGCTGCTGCTCCAGTTCCTGCTGCAGTTCCTGCTGCAGCTGCTGCTCCAGTTCCTGCTCCAGTTGCTGCTGCTGCTGCTCCTCCATCTCTCATTTTCTTCACTCCCTCTCTCCCTCCCGTGTGTATTTGCTTACTGTTTGTATGATTAATGTTTTGATCAAAAAAGTATATAGCAGCCCAACCTCACTTTGACTTTGATTTCAATGGTGCCATTCGACTTTGTTGTCGAGTTTCAGTAGCGTTACCAAGGTGTACATAAGAGGCATCTCAGGGTGACTGATCTTAAGTTGCCGGCGGTTGTAAGCTTGTTAGTACTATGTTGTTGGTTTGTGTTAAAAATTGCTTGAACGCTGGTACAAGAACAAGTTATAAACGTGGTGTGAACAGAAAGCGATGTAAATTTAGTATTCTGACCATACTTGCAAGGCTATGATTGTAAGATTACCATACGTATTTTGGTAATTAACCCAAGCGTAAGGGTACTAATCAAGGGTTTCAACTATAAGTGAGCAAGTTTGCCGATGATAGCTATAATGTAATGTTTGAGCAATTTCGAAAGGCTGTGTAGCTATGTAGCCTATCATAGATTGGCATTAAGTTGTAAGTTTATTACTAATGTAACCTAGCCTGGATTTCAAGATTAACCCAGCAAGGTGATGCATTGAGGTTCTCAGGTTATTGTTTTACTGTAGCCAATGTTCGGAAGTGGCAAAACTGTGAGTCAATGTTAAGAGTAGTATTGTGTCCAGTGTGGTGGATCCAGTGAAAGAAGCAATGGTGTGCAGTGAAAGATTCGGACCACTATGAAGTACCTGTCCTCTTGTATGTGATATTAAATATTAAGATAAATGTACACATATGTAATAATTAAGTACAGTTGAGGAGCATAAGATTATGCAGTGGCAGTTACTCTTAAGAAAAAAAAAAAAAGGAAAATAAAACTTGGATATCGGGTACAGAATTTTAAGCACTTTATTTTATGGGAGATGATCGTTTCTTTAATTTTTTTTTCCTGAATGCAAGGATTAAATAGCCATTTTCTTGTCATGTTTATAATTAGCTACTGTGTATTGTTTATTTTTTTGTTATATTTCATTCATTGATGGCATGTAGAATGTTTGGAGATGTAAGGCGACTAGTGGCCCAGCTTAGCAAGATGGTGTTCAGTGTGTCCTACACAGTGTGTCCTACACAGTGTGTCCTACACAGTGTGTCCTACACAGTGTGTCCTACACAGTGTGTCCTACACAGTGTGTCCTACACAGTGTGTCCTACACAGCGTGTCCTACACAGTGTGTCCTACACAGTTCTGACTCTGGCACCGTCTTGTGGTCTACACTAAATGTCTCACAACCAAGTAGGGTTGATCTTGTTTTTAGGGAAAACAGACACAACGATTCTTATGTTCATAATGATTGTCATTTACGATTCCTGGTTGTTCAGTATTTGGTTTTATATTGTTAAATTTTCTAGGATACGTGGCATTAAAAAGTCATTATGAAGAACTTTGCCTAAAATGTAATAAACATGATATTAAATTTTCAAGTTGAAAGGTGGTGACATAGAATATTAATATTAAAAAGAAATATAGGTACCGTAAACTGATTAACCAAAGATATTTTGTGTAATGAATTTAACACGAATGTAATTAGTATACAAGGTATAGTTGTTTAATGAAAAATATATAGCATAAGACTTCATTTATGTTTATAACA